CTGCCGACGGCGGTGCTGCTGCTGCTGCTGCTGCCGCTCCGCGCGCGCGGAGCCCCGCGGAGCCGCCGCCGCCCCCCGCGCTCGCCCGCCCGCCGGGCGCTGCCCCGCGCCCCCCGCACGCCGCGCTCCGCCGGCCGCAGCTGAGAGCGGACCCCGCGCCCGCCCCGCGCCGCTTTATCCTTTCGCAGCCCGCCCCGCGGCCAATCGCGCGCTGTATCCAACGCCCTCCGCGTGCCAAGCCCCGCCCGCCTCCCCGGGATTGGCGGCCGGCGCGGAGCGGTAATAATGGCCGCGTGCAATGGGAAGCGCCCGCGCTGACCTCATTCCCGGCGGCGGGGCGAACTTTTTAAAAGGGGCAGGAGGGCAGCTCCGCGCGCCGCCCCGCGCCTCGCCGCGCACGTGCCCGCGACCCCCCCCCGCCCCCCGGCCGCGCTCCTCCCTCCCCTCCTCCCTGCCCGGGGGGGAATAAAAAAAAATATCGGGAAATCAGCAAAAAAATCATCATAGTACAAATAATTAAAAAAAAAAAAAAAAAAAAAAAAAAAAGAGGAAAAGAGAAAGAAAGGGAGAGAGGGGAATCGAGGCGGCCCGCCCCCGCGCGCCGCGGCTGCGGGACGGCGAGCGGGGACACCTGCCCGTACAAAGGGCCGGGAGGGTGTTCCTGCAGCCCCGGAGCCGCCGCACGCCCAGCGGGCAGCGCTGCCCGGGGGATGCCGGAGGATGCCCGTCCCCACGCCCACACGCGGAGTGTCACGGAGGGGTCGCCAGCCCTGGAGAAGCGCCCGAGAGGCTCTGCCGTCACGCCCCCTCCGCCCGGGAGCTGGAGCGGAGCGGCGCAGGGGGCGGGCCGGGACAGGCGGCGGACACCTCCCGCGGAGCGCCGGGCCCCGCAGCGCTCACGGCGCTCAGTAAGCGCTGCCACCCATCCCAAACCCCGGCGCGGAGCGAGGAAAAGGTGCTGCCCTTATCGCGTTTTTACCCTCCGAACCTTCTCCTGCGTTTCGCTACCTGCCGCTCTCGCATGCCGCGGTCCCCGATCCCGGAGAGAGGCTGCGGCTGGGGGTCCCGGCCCCGCCGGGTCCCCAGAGAGCGGGAGGGGCCGCGGGAGGAAGAAGCGGTGTGCAGCCGGCAGACAGGGACCGGCCCTGGGGCGGAGGTGCTACCGTGCCTCTGCCAGTCCGCTCCGCCGAGCAGGGGCTCCCTCCTCTCCGGGGTTCTTCCTAGGGCGTAAGGTGCTTTTCGGCGATTGCTGTTTGATCTCATGTGCCACTCCCTCTGCCCTGCCGTGATCAGTAATGAGGAAAAGCAGGGCAGCGAGGTCAGGCTCTGTGCAGCATCCCTGAAGGCCTCGTGGCATCAACTCCCCCTCCAATATTCAGGTAAAGGGGGCAGTAAGACCATAAAAACAATGGCAGTGTTACTTCCCAAAGATTCCTTGCATCAGTCATCAGGCCAAGGACCAGAAAAGCTATTAGGCAAAACAGCTGTGAAAATTTTTGTTCTACACAACACCAGTTAAAAACACCTTTTAAATCAGAAGCAAAATAATGGCTGGATACAGCTAAAATATCTAAGAGGTCTAAAAATAAATTGCACGTGTTTGCAAGAAAATTTATGGTAGAATCCTTTAGTAGAGTTTCTAGCTGGATTGGGAACTGGCTTTGAATATTAAGATATCACACTGGACTCAAAGAACACTGCTGTGAAGTGCTGAGAAAAATCCTGAATTCTCAGTACCTCCCTGAACAGGCCACCTACATTACTGAGACTGTTTACAAAGGTACAAATTAAATTATAGCTTTGCTTGCAAAAATAATACATTGGTTCCTCATACAGCCTCTGGTCAATACTGGATAAAATACTGCTCTCCTCTAGGTTGACGACACCCAGTGACATCAGTGGAGTTTCTCACCTTTACTTTTCATAAGTAGTAAATCACGCTGTGTTTTCCTCCTGAAGCCCCAAAGCTAAGGTCAAGTTGTCCTACCCTATACCACCAACATCTACAGAAATGGAGGCTCACAGTGGGTTTGGTGTTAGGAATGAGCACTGGCTTTTGCTTACACTCTTGGTATTCGTGTGCAGCAGTGTGAAAAACTGGGACTGGGAGCAGTCAGTAGCTTCTGGCTGCTCCACCTGTCAGCACGGTATCCAGCAGGGTTTCAACCCCCAACTGTCATATTTTACATATAAATATCCATTTGTTTAAACTACAAGGCAAGTAAAATATTCTCATGTTTCCAGTGCAGAATTAATGCAAAGCAAACAAACCCCAAACTGATAGGCAAACATAGAAAGAAAAAGGTTAAGAAGCTTTTCACTTGGTTTTGTTAAGTTCTGCAAGGTCTTGACCACCATGAATAAAATTCATCTCCAGGTGAGGAGTTAAGTGTCTTCCTGACCAAAGCAGCCATATCAACTTAATCTTGGTTCAAAAAGTGTGTATATGGGATGGACAGAAGAGTATTATTTCCTTAACAAAAACTCCACAAAAGTGAAATTTAGGGCTGCTTAATAAAGCAAGTGTAAGAACACAATGTGAAACTCTATAAAAAGCATTTTACTACCATTTCTTAGCTCTTTCCTCCAAGTTAATTGCTTCCACCCCTAACCCTCCAGTGGCAGACTGAAAGTACCTTCCAGCTCCCCAAATTTTTAAGCCTAGGCATAAAGAACGACCATTCAGCTTCCGTCTAAAAATGAAGTTTTAAGAGTATTGGCAAGGCTTCTCCGCGTTTTACAACTTATAAACCCGTGAAACTTCATTCTGTTTCCGGCAGGCTCGGTGAGGCCGGGGACGCGGCACGGGACGCGAGGTGGCAGCGCTGAGCCTCTTCTGCCAGACGTGGGAAAACGCGGAGCCAGCGAACCCGCGATTATTATTTTTTTAATTATTTCCCCCCCCCCTCCCCCCCCCGCTGTGGTTTTACAGAGCAGCATAACGCTGCAAGTTTCTGACTGAAATTCGGTGGGTTTGCATCCAAGAGCGGCAGTGCCCACGCAGTCAGCTGTACGCCGCCGGAACAGCGTGCGGGTGATGCCAAATCCCCATGCCAGGTTTAAGGGCAGAGAAAAAGCCTTCTCACACGCCGGGATCTGTAGTTCGCCCTGCGCATAGAGCAAGAGAGATAGTTCACGAACAACACTCTGGACAAATCTACTGTGGAACTGGGCACCACAACCATTGATTCCAACATTCATCCAGCATCATGGAAGCGTTCAAGACGGGGTTGGATGGGGCCCTGAGCAACATGATCTAGTGGGTGATAGCCCTGCCCTTGGCGGGGGCGTTGGAACTAGGTGGTCTTTGAGGTGCCCTTCGACCCAAATCGTTCTATATGAATCTGCTAGTCTATGATTGATTGCAGGCTCTATGTGTGAATCAGCATGCCGTCCCCACCGGTTAAAACGTCTTAAGGACACGCAGATTTAGCACCTCTCTTTCCCCCCGCCCTCTCTCCTGTTTTAAACCGTGGATTACCAGCGCACAGGCTCCTTTAACTGCAGCCCTCGCCGTTGATCTTTTCCACACCCCCAGCTCCGTAGGGCTGTGGGAAATGCTTCGCAGTCTGCTCCGCGGGAGCTCGGGAGCAGACTTTCCCTCCCGTGAGCGTGTTCCTGCGTGCCCTCGCCGGCGCGGAGCGCTCCCCTGCCCTGGCGCTGCTCAGCCAGGAGCCCCCGAAGCTGCTGCGGCCTCCTCTTACCCCCCTGCAGCCTCCCCGCTCCGCAGCCGCCCCGGCCCGGAGAGCTCGGCTGCATTAGCACGCCCGTCAATTCCCCGCTGTGCCCCAGCAGGCGCCCCCGGCTCGCAGGGATGCGCGGAGGGGCGCGGTGGGTGTTCCGCGGGCCGGGGTGCCCGCAGGGCGAGGCTCTCCGCGCCCCCCGAGCTCCCCGCGGAGGGGCAAGGCAGGGCCAGGTGGCGGAGGTCCCGAGGGACTGAACTCCTGGAGGAGCAGGGCTCTGACCCGGGCGCATCCTGAGCAGTGACATCCGAGGGTCGTCCGGAGACTCTAGGGGACACGCTGTGGGGAATTAATGAGTGAATTGAAGGCGATTCACGGACGTCTTGCTTCTCGTGCCCCCGTGACAGGCATCTACAGGGTGGGGAAAGGTGGAATCTTATTTATCTCGAAGAAAACCCTCTGTTATTTCTGAGTGTTTTCCCCTCTGCTACCAAAACTCACCTCT